CCAGCCCTCCCTCCACTGACGGCCTGCTCATCTTTTCTCTGCTTATCCTTCAGTGAAGCCTTCTCTTTTTCTCCCACATGGGCCGATTTTGCTTGGAAATCATCTGTTTTCTCAATTTTCAAATGTATGCCCACTGAACTGCACACAACCTTCCCTTGTAGTTCTCTTGACCTCAGCCTGCCTGTGTCCAGGGCCCCATTTCTCTGACTGCCCCACATTTTATCCTCTCTCCCCTCCTTTATTCAACCTTGAGAGAAGTTTAGCTATAAAACTAGTTTTTTCAAATATCCAGTTTTGGCTTTTATTTATCTTTTCTACATCTTTTAGTTTTCTATTTCATTTTGCATTTTTAAACTTCTTCCTTATTTTTTTCTAATTTTTTCTTCTAAAAGTTGAATACTTAGTTCTTTAGTGTCAGTCTTTAAAAAATAAAACACATGTTTTGTGGGGCTTTTCATTATCTGTTACATAATTTGTAATTTCAGTTTTGATATTCTTTTTGCTCTAAAGTTTTGCTGCAATGGTGAATAGAAAATTTTTCTTATAACACTTACAAAGTAGTTGATAAATAGACAATGGTTTTATTATTGATGTGGCACCACTGTGTAATATAAATTATAACCATGTATGCTGTAAGTAGCAACAGCCTGCTACTTCAATCAACTCTCTTTTTGCCAACTGGGCTCTTGGCTGAGTCCCGTGTCCCTACGTATGTGGCATCGTCAGCTACTGGGCAGTTTGTCTGGATTTTCACCTGTATCTAGATGCATCTGGCTGGGTTATAGGTAATAAGTTCAGAAATGGACTCGGGCTGTCAGAAGCATAGGTGGAATTTGCGGGTAGCTGTGCAGGGCGCCTGGGGGCCCGGATTCCGGACCATATGGGGTGTAGATACCTGCGTGCCGCCGCTTCCTTCCTGGACCCGCAGCAGTGCAGCAAGAGGGGTTTGGGCTCGCCCTCCTGCCAGGACAGCATTCCACAACCAAAAATACTCCCACCTCTTTTCTAACCATCTTATTTATCCTGTCTCATCGCACTGAGCCGCATTTGCAGGACCATGATGTTAAGCTGCGCGATTAGTAACTAGACTCATTCTTGTCCCCGGTTTTACAGGTGCCCTTTGAGGATTTCACAATTACGCAGGATGCTGGCTGTTGTTTCACAGTTATAAATGGACGTACACGTGTATATATTTACTACATTAAGAAATTATTCTTGGGCTGCTTGTTGAAGGGTAACCACTGTCACCCCCTCCTAGCCGCATTTCCTGGTGTCCAGGCTTCGCTGGGCCGGTCCCACGTGATCTGGGAGCATCGCTGCCCTTTCATTCACCAAGTGTGAATAGAGCACCCTCCCTGGAGCAATGTGAACTGTGCAGGACCCTCAGGTGGAGACTGAGGACTGACCCATGGGAATGAGGCCAGGTGCAGGGTCTTCGTTGGGGGGATGGGAAAAGACCCATTTCTTTTCCCAATTAGGTCTTTTTCTCTTTATTCAACTTCATTTATATCTGTTGCTCACATAAGTTTGGTTTTGCTTTTCTCATTTTACGGTTTCTGTGGGTGTGCTTCTTTGCTCTTTTTCCCTAGTTTCTGTCCTTCGCTGTGTGACTCTGTCCCCTGCTCAGGTGTCTGGGAGGCCTTAGTTGGATTCCAGGTGGCATCTGTCCATCTCTGCCAACTGGGCCAGGCTGAAGAGAACGGAGGCCTGGGCAGCAGGGGAAGGGGCAGGGCCTTCCTGGCAGGAGTGCTCAGGGCCTGTGAGTCGGGGAGGTGCCAAGAAAGCACTGAGACTGAATGGGGGTGCTCATGACACATGACCCACCACCCCCCGCCAGGCTCCCCATAAGCTCCTGACAAGGCCTGGCCTGTTAGCACTGCCTGTGCCGAGTATAGAAGGGTCATACCTCATATATTCCTTCATTCTCCACCTCCACTTTCTCAATAGCCAACAGAAGAGACCACACTGACCCCGCACCTGTGGGGGGATCCCTTTATAGATCCATCGATGCATCTACGGGAAAGAAGCAGCTCTGGTGAAACAGGCCACAGGGTGACACCATAGAGGAGATGGAGCACGAGGCATCTGGAAGATTCTAGCATTTGGCTCCATGGTTTCTCAGGAGAGGTTGGGTCTGCCTAGAACTGGGCCCCGTCTCCCACAACTAGGAGTGGACGAGGCTGCAAGGGACGTTGTGGACAATGGTCCCCGCTTATCCCTCCCTACGGGGCCCTGGGCCTGAGGTGGCCCTGGCTCTGGCCTCAGATCCTCTCCAGGTGAGGTGACCCTCGTGGTGTGGGCGGGTGGCTGCGGGCTGCCCTGGGGACCCAGGCCCATCATCCTTTGAGGTCAGGACAGCATGCCACCTGCCAAGTGTTCAGGTCTCTAACTCACCACTGCCATGGTATTTATTCCACTTCCTCAACGTCTTCACCTACTTGTCCACTCACTCATCCAAGCTCTTGGTGTTTTTGCTGGAAAATGAGAAATGGTGGTGCTAGCCAAGCTGCCAGCTTACTTAGAGGGGCACTTAGTGCAGCGTCGAGTCACGTTAGGAGCCCTGATGTGAGCAAACTCAAAAGAGCCAGAAAAGACACAGACCCCGGGCACAGACCCTCTCACACAGACACTTGGGCCTCCAGCCAGGTCCCAGACTCGAGGTGGGGTCCTGGCGGCCAGCAGGCAGCGACCCCTGAGCTGTGTGTGTGGTTCTGGGACAGCTAGGTTTGTTAAAACCCCCCCTCAGGACAGCTCTGGGGTCAGGGGAGACAGGAACCGCGGCCCCGCACCCAGGACCACCTCTTGCCTGTGCAGCAAGGATGGGCTCTTACCTTTGCCTCCTGGGTGCCGAGGCCAGGCAGCTCCTTCTCACTGGAAGGCAAGAGAAGCAGAGCTGTGAGGACCTGCACAACGCCGGGCACCAGGGAACGACCAGATCCACTCTCCCCATCAACCCCCACATCTCGCCCCAGGAGACTCTGGAGGGGAGGGCTGACCCCAGAAGGGTGCCAGTGATGTGGGGCAGAGGGAGGGCAGGGGCTTCCAGGTGCTTATGGAGCTCTAGCCACAGTCGGGCTGGAGGCAGCGTCCTCCACGGGAGCCTGAGAAGGGTCAGTGCTGGCACAGGGGGTGGGCTACGCCCTGACAGCAGCCCCCAGGACGTGACCTGCCACTGTCCCGGGGTTGGGCCAGCCTGAGAACTGCCCAGGCAGCCAGGGTGCACCCTGTGCCCATCTTGCTGATGTCCCCACACCCCTCACAGGGTCTGACTGTCTGGCATCCACCTCCCTCTCCCTGCACCTCTCCCATCCCCTGACTTCACCCCTCTCTCATCCGTCACTTCAGCCACTCTGGCCCATCTTTTACCCCTTGTCCTGTCAGAACCTCTGAGTATGACCCACCCCTGATCGGTCCAAACAACTGCCTGTCCACTGGGTGATGAGCAGTGACCAGGGCCCCACAGGCAGCCAGGTTGGCCCCACACTGCGTCTCTAGCCTCAGCTGGCTTCCTGCAAGCCCTCAGTCTCCTTCCTTCCCACTGCAGTGTCTCCAGGACTGACCAAAGCCCCTGGCTCAAGTGTTTCAGGTGAGTTGCTCCCCCCAGGCCTTGCCCCATTCCAGGCTAAGCTCCCCCAGAGAGGATGCCACCATCCCAGGAGCCCAGCGCCTTCGGCTTTGCCCCAGGCTAGCCCCGTCCAGGCACACACACACATACACACACACCCTTACACACACACATATCACCCAAGTCCCATCTCCTCTCATTCTCTTCTTCTCTCTCCTCCCACCATGGCCTGGCCAGCCTTCCACCCCCAATCCCCTCCCAGCACCAGACCAAGGGGTCAGGTTATCTTCAGCCGCAAATATGACCTGCCTCTGTCACTTACCTTCCTATCAGATTCTGAGGCCAGCTCCTGCTTGAATGTACCCTCTCAATGCCTAAGGCCACACCCCTTGCTGCCCCTTGTGCCTGTCCCCAGGTGGCTACTCACCTTCTGGACAATTGAAGGCCCACTTGAGCCCTTGGAGACCTTCTGGACAATTGCCCACAGGCCTGGGCAGGCGCCCCTGGGCCAGGTGCCCTCACCCTGTGGAGCCACTATTGACCAGGCTGGACCCTCCTTCCGACCCTGGGAGGAAGACATCCTCACCCCATCCCCCATGCAGGTGTGGGGGCCACACCACTGAGTGCCCAGACACCCGGCCCAAAGCCCAGCTCCACCCCCTGCCCACTTACCCGAGTTTGCATGCTCGGTCTTTCAGCTCAAGCCTAGTGTAGATCGTGGCCTGCAGAAGGCACCAGGGGACAAGGCTCTGAGCTGAAGAGACGGCTGTCTCTGCAAATGGAAACCATCCCTGAGATGAGAAGGAGGGGTCTCCAGACGACTCACTGCAGAAAACCAAGATGGTCAGTGACTTTGTGCAGCAAGAGGCTAGCATCTTTCCAAAGTTCCACCAGTGTCCGTGCTTGGCATCCCTGAAACCCAGAGGGGGCACCGTGGTGAGGACATACCAGAGCCAGGGACATGGGGGCAAGGAGGGAGCAGGATGGCTCCTCCCTCCCCTGCATCCTGAAGGAGCCCAGAAACCTCTGACAATGGGCACAGCGTGAGAGGCAAGGACCTGGCCACCTGTCTGGGAACAGCCTGATAGCTTCACCTGCTCCTGCTGGCTGTGATGCCCACCTGGGCCTCACCTGCTTGTCCTTGGCTATGATCCCTGCCTGGCACATAACTGCTCCTGCTGCCTATGATTCCTGCCTGGGCTGTATCTGTTCCTAGTGGCTACCATCTCCTCCTGGGCCTTACCTGATTGTATTTGGCTATTATCTCTGCTCATTCCAAAGACATCAATATCTCCAGGTCCTCCTTCATGTTCCATGCTGCAAGGCAAAAAAATCCAAATATTACACTGCACTGAAGAGCTTCAGAGAACAAAAAAGTCTACTCCCTCTTGGCAGCTCCCCAGTCTGTCTGACCAGAGAGTGGAGAAAGCCCTATAGCCAGGTTGGGTGCCATCTGGGTTGACAGATCATAGGTTCGCACTCACACTTTCTGGCACTCCCACTTACAGGCTACCTTCCCAGCCACGTGGGAAACCTTGTCATAATGAGATTACAAAGCTCTCTTCAGAAAGCTTTACGAGGAATAAGAAAGTAGACCCAGGAGGCTCAGATGAACCACTGATCTGCAGTGCAATGTGGCGTACTCCTGGCCCAGGGCTGGCACCAAGGAAAGGAGAGGGCAGCTGTCAGCCAATGAAGGGGTTCCTGCAGGCTGACTGGGAATCATATTTTGCTCTTAGACACCAAAAGCATGAACAACAACAAAAAAACCCAATAAACTGGACTTCGTCAAACTTAAAAACTTCTCTGTTTCAAATGACATCATCAAGAAAGTGACATCAACTGGATATAATAGGCATCTATAGACTACTTTATCCAACAACAGCAGAATACACATTCTTCTCAAGCTCACATAGAACCTTCACCAAGACAGGCCACATTCTGGGCCATAAAACACACCTCAACAAATTTAAAAGATCAGAAATCATACACTGCCTGCTCTCAGATCACAATAAAATTAAACTAGAAATGAATAACAAAAAGATAGCTGGAAAATCACAAAATACTTGAAGATTAAACAACACACTTCCAAACAACACACAGGTCAAGGAAGAAATCTCAACAAAAATTTTTTTAATATTTTGAACTAAATGAAAATAAAAATAAAACTTTTCAAAATTTGTGGGATGAAGTAAAAGCAGTGCTTGGAGGGAAATTTATAGCATTAAATACATATATGAGAAAAGAAAAAAGATCCCTAATCTAAGCTTCAACCTTGGAAAACCAGAAAAAGAAGAGCAAACTAAATCCAAAGTTAAACAGAAGAAAAATAACAGTAAAAATTAGAGCATGAATCAATAAAATTGAAAACAGGCAAACAACAGAAAAAATAAATGAAACCAATAGTTGGTTCTTTGAAAATATCAATAGAATTGATAAGTATCTAGCCAGGCTAAGAAAAAAAGAGAGAGGATACAAACCACTAGTATCAGAAATGAAAGAGGAGACATCACTACAGATCCCATGGACATTAAAAAGATAATCAAGAAATACTATGAACACAAATCTGATACCTTAGGTGAAATGGACTAATTCCTTGAAAGACATCATCTGTCAAAACTCACACAAGAAGAAATAGACAATCTGAATAGGTCTATATCTATAAAAAAATTTTTTGAATCAATAATTAATAGCCTTCCCAAACAGAAAGCACCAGGCCCAGATGGGCTCACTGATGAATTCTACCAAACATTTAAGGAAGAAATTATACCAATTCTCTACAATCTCTATCAGGAGAAGTAGCAGAAGAAATCCTTCCTAATCCATTCTATGAGACCAGCATCACCCTAATACCAAAACCAGATGAACACATTACAAAAAAAGAAAACTACAGACCAATATCTCTCACAAACATAGATTCAAAAATCCTCAAGAAAATATTAGCAAATAGAATCCAATAATATATAAAAAGAACTATACACCAGGACCAAATGGGATTTATCTCAGGTATGCAAGGCTAGTTCAAGATTTGAAAATCAATTAATGTAATCCATCATATCAACAGGCTAGAAAAGAAAAAAATCACATGATCATATAAATAGATGCAGAGGGCCGGCCCCGTGGCTTAGCGGTTAAGTGCGCGCACTC